TTTATACTTTTGCCTTTTAAGGCGTTCCACAGAGCAGCCTGCTGGTCATAAAACTGGAATGAAAGAAACCGCTGTTGCTTACTGGCACTGGAGCGCTTAAGGACTCCCTCATGGAAAACTTTGCATTTTCATGGTTGCCATGTAATAAATGATGTAATCTGAAAGAGCTGTGCGTTCTGGCGAGCTGTTGGTGCTCACCTTTATATGCTTGCATATGACGTGAGGTACTTGCTCATGAAATGGGAGTGCTACAAGAACATTTGTGGTAGTATACTGGGCTTGGTGCGCTGGTATGCTACAATAAGGTGTTATGTAAATAATGCAGGCCTGTAAAGTCTATAAAGATGATTCATACGATTTAGTGGCTTCCTTATACCTTCCCGCATGACCTGCGGCTTGCCCCATGGAAATCGGTCCCTGTTGATATTCCCGCTGTGCACAGCAGGCCCTCTCTGTCAGAACAAAAAAAGGGTGTTGCCCTATGTGTTTGACCCTGGAAATGGCAGGGCAGGTTCATAGTTTTCCTGACACTAACAAGCTGCTGCACGCCACTACACATTTCCCGTTGGCCTCATCACGCTTGATGAGTGTGTCATTGTTCGTCATCCCTCAGGGCTCCACCAAAGCTGCACGGGGCTGTCATTTGTCGTTGATGTAGCACAACTTTGCCCTCTGCTGCTCCGCCTCGCGGTCGGTGCTCTTGTTTAGCCAGAAACTTGTAGTTGGAACTCAAGAGGGTCTCATTAGTATCTCGGAGTTGATTTATATGGACATTTAACGATACAATTATGAGCTTGGTCTTAAAAGTGGGCTTTGTGACGTGATGTTGTGGTGTCTTGCCAGTTGTTGCCAATTGCTTTACAGGTGTGGTTTATGTTTTGTTTTTTCCCCTCACTAAAAAGCCAACTCTCTTTGTTGCAACTAGAATTCAAGGAGGCCTTCTCACTCTTTGACAAGGATGGAGATGGCACCATCACTACCAAAGAGCTGGGCACAGTCATGCGCTCTCTGGGCCAGAATCCCACAGAGGCAGAACTGCAGGACATGATCAATGAAGTGGATGCTGATGGTGAGAACTCGATCAAACCTCAAAGGCTTCCAGCTGTTTACAGTCACTGCTGGATGTCAGTAGCTCAAATGTGCTGCTTCTTAAACTTTTTTCTTCAGGAAATGGAACGATAGACTTCCCAGAATTTCTGACCATGATGGCCAGGAAGATGAAGGACACAGACAGCGAGGAGGAGATCAGAGAAGCATTCCGTGTCTTTGACAAGGTAAATGCATCCAGCCGCTCTAGTGTACATATGCACTGTAGTTTGTAAGAAGGGACTGACTGACCTGATTTCTCAGGATGGGAATGGCTACATCAGTGCTGCTGAGCTGCGCCATGTGATGACAAACCTTGGTGAGAAGTTGACTGATGAAGAGGTGGATGAAATGATCAGAGAAGCAGACATTGATGGGGATGGACAGGTCAACTATGAAGGTTGGTATATAGTTTTCTATTAGTGTGTGTGTGTGTGTGTGTGTGTGGGTTTTTTTTTTTTTGGGGTTTTTGTAAAAATTTTGTGCTGACATTTTAAATGTAAAATTTTATAATTTTTTTCCCTCTTCAACCCTGCAGAGTTCGTACAAATGATGACGGCGAAGTGAAGGCCTTGTACAGATTTCGTATATAAATAATTTGCCTTTTTTCTTTGTGTAATTTATCTGTAAAATCTTAATAGCCCCTATTCATCCCTGCCCCTTCTGCTGTCCAAAGGAACTGCATGTAAACTGCATAGGCTCTTGTCCCCATGTCCCTTTCTTTTGCTGTCATGGTGTTTTGGAGTGACAGAACGGTCATACAACCAGATGCCGTGGAGGCCCCTGGAAGCTGGAGAACTTGGAATTTTCCTGTTATGTGCTCGGGGCCCCCTCCACGCATGGTGACATTGGAAACCTGTCAGCTGGTTGTCACTTGGCAACACTGTTGGCATGGAAACGATGTAGAGAAGTTGAAACTCTGCATGGACTACGGACAAAGTATATATGGAAATCTCAGCATTGCACTACTGCAAAAAAATGACACGGGTGTATCTCCTAGGTACTCGTACAAACTCTTTTTGTATCTGCTGTTCTATATACCAGAAAAATGACAAATTTTACCATGCTTTTTAATGTTTTACTCACTACTTCTTGTTTTTTTTTTTTTAACCGTCTACTTGTTTTTTTTTTTGTTTTTTTTTGACCACAGGTAAATCCATTTCAGTTTTATTTTTTTTTTTTCCAATAAAATTTACAATCTACCCATATTTGGAAATTGTCTTGTTTTCGGTTATGGATTGTTGAGTTTGTATACCCTGTAATAATTCCCATTTTGTATTGAAGACAGGATGCTCCAGTTTTGATAGGTTTGGTTTTTTCTTTTTCTCTTCTTGTTGCTTGGAATACATGAGATGTTTACCAATTAAGTCCCCCTGTTAACCCCCCTCCCCACAGCACTGAGGAGCATCAGCCAATGCCTCTTAATGTTCAGAAAAGCTCACGTCAGATGTGCATTGTCATTAAAATAAAAGCACTGAGTGGGATCAAAGGCTTCTATTTTTGAAGTACACACAATGGTACTCGAAATTAGATTAGCCTTGTACTGTCCAGCTCGCCCATCTGACTGCATAGGCAGTGTGTGTTAGAGCCAGCACAGCACCATGTAGGACCTGACTGCCTCATGTCTTGCGTGGCATTTGCCCCCAATCATAAGATGTGGGTGACTGAACATGTATCAGAAACCATGGTGTAAATAGGTGTACCTGTGTGGGACTCTTATTTTCTGTTTTATTTCTGATGAGTTTGTTACAGTAGCTTGCAGAGATACTAAGTTTGTTATTTTGATGAATGACAAAATAAAGCTCTATTGTGGACCTCTGTGCTGCCTCCTGTGTGAAATTTGTTTGCTGTTTTTTGCAGCCCATTTTGGGGGGATGCAATCACTGCACTTTGGAGATGTGCATCTGGCTTTTGCAGCGTTGCAGTAAATGTGATGTTGCACACAGCTAAGTTTAATAGCTGAAAACAAATTGTTGTTGAATCCAGTGGTGGTAGGGAACAAGGAATCACCTTGTAATTTGCATTTCTAATACAAATATCTGCACAAATCTAAATATGCAAATACATTTTAAAACAGTGTGCATACCTTAATGAGCTGCTGCAACTGGGTGACTGAAAGGAAACATGTTCCAAACAGGAGCGCTGACAGGTTAAATGATAGGATGATCAGGTGACTTATTCAAGTAGGGAATCCAAAGACTGACAGAAGACGCTGGGTGTTCTCAGCTGTTTAAAATTTGGATCGGGTCCCAATCTTTTATAATGAAGGTTATAAAAGTAACACATACAGGTAGATGGGAAAGTGTCAGGTCAGAAAACTAAGCTAAAAAACCCAAACGTACAATTTAATTTGGGACCCATTCTCATTCCACAGACTGAAGCTTTGGTATGATGTAGTCTGAAGCTTTTTTTTCATTACAAGGGATGATCTTGTTCTTGATTTTATTCCAACCATATCTATGACGAATCAAAATACTGAGTTTGCTGGATGCATGTACCTGAAAAGCCTGAATGTTTAGTACAAGTATTTTTGTGTCATATGGTACTGAGCAAATGTCTGGAACCGCTCCTTATGTATTTGTATTTTACTTCCAATGATCAAGACTTGTACTTTTAATCTATGAAAAATGTCAAAGATATGTTTGACAGGCATAAAGTAGCTATTTTGCACCAACAAGCTGAAAACTTGTTGACAGTGTGAAGTGTGTCCTTGAGAAACCTAGACAAGTCGGGGACGGAAGAAGTGGCAGCTTTCAAAATCAATAGCATGTGGAGAGGATCTGAAAGTCACTTCCTTAGGAAATAGAAACTCGGCAAAGACTTGACACAGACCTGAGACCTGTGTCTGGTGCTTTGGTTGATCCATCTATGTTTCACTGAGGCCAGAAATACCCTCAGTGGAGTGGGTGGCTGTGGGAAGATCATTCTCAAGGAAAGGTAACGGGGAAAAGGCTGCATCACCAAATTACACAATAACTAGACTGAAAATCAGAAGCAACAGGTCTCATGGAGTGATGAATCCAAATGTAGAATCTCTGGTTCAAATCATCAACATGTGTGGAAGATGTCAGGAGGAAGGTACAGCACTGAGTGTCTACAGTTAAACAACAAAGGTGGTCATATTGAATTTCAAGCTAATTAGAATTGTACAAAGTCTTTTTTTTTTTGCCTCATACATTGAATTTCTATTTAAATTTGCACCTATTTCTCATTTTCTCAGCAAAATATTAAGACTCGAGACTTTTGCACAGCACTGTACTGGTGATTTGTTCATTTGCTGTAAAAGTTGAATGAACATCCACCAAGTGTGGTGTTTCCATAATTATTTTTTTCTAAGTGTTGTAGCTCTTATCATAATGCTGAACCGGATGAAACTTGTCTTATGTGTGAAGTTATGTGAGGGGTCTGACCTCCACCCCCCCGGGAGCAGTGCAGGCTGCAGTTGTTTGTGGCTTGGCCAATCATGCATACTCAGAGCTCCCTTGTGGAAGCACATTTAAACATTTAGAGCATTACAAAATGCACCAAGGTAACAGCTAGCACACAGAAAAGGTAACTGCACTACCCCCCGATCTGACTCTGCTTCGTCTCGTGTCATGTGCAGTGACACAAATGAGTGGGTTCTTGCTTTCACGCGGCACCAGCTGCAGTTCCAAGGCACAGAACGAAAAGGAACACCACGGCGATTTCAGGTGTGAATCGATCACACAAGAAACTCTGATCGTGTTAAAACCAATTATCACAAGACTTTTTTAAAAAAAAAAGAAAAAAAATTACCCTCACAGATGAAGTGTCATCGCAGCCTGCTTATAAAAAAAGTTGTTAATTACGCTGCACATGCGACACTAGGCTGAAGCTGTCTCCTGCATTCATGCCTTGTCCGAACTGGAGATGACTGTACATGAGGGAGTCAGGGTGAAGATGTGTGTATGTCTCCTAGTGCGCTGTGGTGTCACATGAGAGTTCCTTGACAAGCAGCGGAAGCATGAATTCTTGGCTCCTTCCAGCCATGTGCTGCATGTAGCCTGGCAACCGGGCCGAGTGTAGCGCTTTCTGTTCCCAGAGTGAGATTTTCGCTTCAGCTGGCGGTCTTGAATTTTGCTGTACTGAAATAAAGAGGGAAGAAGAGTTCATCCTGGAGTACGATCTCAGGTGTAAGCGCACACACACACACACACACACACACACACACACACACACACACACACACACACACACACACACACACAGAGTTTTCCTACAGACAGTGATGAAGAAGAGATGCAGTCTTGCTTTGTTTTCTGTGTATTCTTATTAAATTCACAGTATTCCTCCATATATCACATGTTGAATACTGCCATCCCTATGATTATGGAAACTGGACAATGAAAGATGATGGATGGATGGATGGATGGATGGGATGCAGACAGTGACAACCACATAACCACCTGCAGCACCTACAGCATCTCGGTGCTGGCTCACCGATGTGTCTTACTCTCAGCCAAACTAGCCAATCTAAATTTAGCTCCCCTTGCGAGGCCAGCTTGTTGAAAAATTGATCGATAGTGGAGTTGCTGCTATAGTAACGATCCCTGTTTTAATGGTGGTCAGGTGTCACTGGATCTCCCACTAAGCAGATAGTGAACGACAGCGAGCGCGGCGCAGGACGATGAAACAAAGTCGCCTCTGAAGCCGGTGACATGTCCCGGAGTGGTCACAGGACAGATAAGGTGAGGTTTTATCTTTAAAACCCTCGTAACTCTGTGTGTGGTTTCATGAGGACAAGGTGGGAGACGAATCAACACATCGTTGGCATAGCGATGTCATCATAGCAGAAGCAGTCTGGTGTGACCTGTGCCTCGTCCCTATCTGCAGGGTGATGACACGGTGGAGCTGTGTGGCCGGGGGAGCTGGTGGCTGGGAGCACTGAGAGTAGGTGTCGCACTGCTGTTTGGTTTCACGGACTCTCTGAAACCAAGTGTGTGCTTCAGCACAGCCCAAAACCCACATGCCACTTACATGCATGAGTAAAATGACACATCACAACGACAGGCATCAGAAAATAATGACATTAATATTAACCTTCAACTAATCAATGATTTCGATCATTCTGGTTGCTGGAAATTGAGTGAAATTGGCATCTTCAGTGGAATTCAACAGCTGTCTCTCATGAGGTCACCCATCCATGAACTTACTGCAGCATTGCTCTTGCATTGTTCCAAAATGTCAGACTTTGAACTGTTGTAAAATAGTTATGAAATTAAGAAATGTGGGTCACAGATTCCCCATGCTCCCACTCTTCCAGGACACACCCATCCCGGGAACCTACCACGTCCGAGACTTCGTTGAGGAGGCTGATCTGAACCCTGTGAAAAAAACTTATGGCTTCAAAGGTGTGGGCAGAAAAACTCAGACCCTGGGTGTGCGTAAGGGGGATCTGCTGCTGCCTGGAGCGTATGAATATACAGACTCCACCCAGGAAGTCCTGATGCACCAGGCTTCCTACTCTTTCAAGAACTGCCCCCGACCCGACATTTTCACCCTTGGAATTAGAGACAAGGTAGCACTGAGACTCATTTACTGATCCTTTTTGAAAGTTTGCATAGTTTTTGCTTTCTAGTTTTGCTTTCACTTGAGACAGAAGCCATATGTAATCAACCAGTTGCTGCTGAGTATGAAGCTTCTTTACTTGAGTTAACACAACAAAGGTTTACATCGTGGGTCAGGTACAGCCCAGTTCAATATTAGGTGGCTCCAGTAACTACCTACTAACCGGTAAAACAAGGTGCACCTCTAAATTGTTCCCATTTCTTTTAGCGTAAAGAAGTTATACTTAACATTTAATCACTGAGATAGCTTAAATAACCCAGTATGATGTCAACAAATCAAGGTGGGGAGCTTCTTTACGACTATCAGTTTCTTACAGGCATTAGTTTATACACAGCTTTCTAAAGGTCCTGCCACAGCATTTCAGTTTAGACTCTGAGACATTTTAACGCATCCTGATGCGGATTTGCTGCTGTGTTTAGGATCATTGTCCTGTTGCATGACTCAGTTTGGGCCAATGTTGAGCTGTTGGACAGATGGCCTCACATTTGACTGCAGAACACTCTACAGAGGAGTTCATGGCTGATTCAATGAGTACAAGGTTCCCAGGTCCCGTGGCTGCAAAACAAGCCCAAATAACCAGCCCTCCACCATTGTCCTTGACACTTGGTATCAGGTGTTTGTGCTGATATGTTCTGTGTGGATTTGCCAAACACAGCGCTGTCCACTACACTACAAAAACTCAAAATCTTACCAAATATATTTGTCTTATTTTCTAGTCAAAATTATCTCATTACACTTAAAAGAAGACACAATCAGCTACAGGGCAACATTTCAGTGAGTCGAAGGAACTTGTTTCAAACAGTGAATTTTGAAACTAGAGAAAAACTGGAGAAGTTTCACTTGTTTCATTGGCATATTTTTTTTTTACTTAAAACAAGACATAATAGCTTGACAACCCTTTGTTTTTTGCAGTTTCTCTGTGCATTGTACGGTCTGACCCTGAATTTGCAGTTAACACACACATGAATGCTCCAGACGAGCAAACTAGAAATGCTTGCGTTTGCTAATGATCAATCAATCAAATGCATCTGATTAGACATTAGACCACATTACCAGCCCCATTAAATCCAATAGAAGCAGCAAGGCTTTACTTAGCTTTCCATAGGACTGCATATAGTCCAGTGGAAACGTTTTCCTTCACATAGCTGAATTCACTTCGTGCCACGCAGCACAAGAAAATATGATCAAACTAATCTGGCTCTTATGCAACTAAAAATAAATACAGCAAGTCAAGGTTATTGATGCGTGGAAGAGTAAATGGTTATTTGTTAAAACAATAAAAAAGAGAAAAATCTTTTATTTTACAGCCACATATACTAACAGTAAAGTTTAGCAGGTATAGATTTCAGGCCCTGGAGTCAAACCTGGGAACCTCCCCATAGAGACTGAAGTCATTATGAGCAGAAACTTTTGAATGATAGACTTCTGCTTTCACTAGCCTAGGGGTGTAATTTACTTCAGCAATATTTATTCACTGCTCCGTTGTGGAAGTCTGTTTGGATGTAACCAGCTATCATCCATACTTTACCTAAAGCACAATAGGTGCCCCCCTCAAAAAACAAAAACAAACTCAGGGTGATACTTTGGTGTATATATTAAAAAAAACATCTTTATCTTCTTATTCTCCTTCTGCCAGCACATAAACACTTCGCCATGTGACTACAATGTGACAGCGAGACCAGTGGAGAAGATCCCCTGCAAGTAAGCGCTCGACAAACAGCCACTCTTTAACTTTCAGATCACAGCGGCGCAGACAAGCCATGAATCATCCCTTGATCGCGAAATCCTTCCTCCTCATCCGGCTTTCTGGTTCCCTCTCTCACCTCCATGCAGCTCAAAGATGGAGGAGCAATCACCAGGCTGCTCTCTCCTTTCCTCTGCCGTCGATCACAAACTTCCTTATCCATTTCTTCTCTCACTTTTTCTCCTTATTGTTATTTGCTCTTTTGCCCCCTTCCTTCTCTTATCTCCTGTTCTCGCAGGCATGTGATGTTTCGCTCGACTGTGCAGCGGATCAGCTTTCTGCCTGTAAGTAGGATCTGATCACCAGGACCAATTATTAACACCATTCAGTCTTTCCATTGTCCACAAAAAGTTTCCTTACAATACACTTTCAATAGGTTTTGATTACAAGCTATGACCTAATGTGCACAAGGCAGTTATGACAACCGCAAGGGTTGAAGAAAACCGATCCCAGGGCGCTCTGACTGTATCGTTTTCCCCCATTTGAAGGCCTGTTATGGCACTGCTCTGGTTGACCAGTCAGCTTTGGTTCAAATTGCAGCGTCGGTGCTGGTAGCCGATGGATATTTGAGCTGTGCTGGCAGCTGCTGAGTGTTGACAGAGAAGGAAAGGCGCTAAGAAATCCCAAGGGTGTTATTACTACAGAGCTGGGAGCAGTTTTCTGCCATCGCTGGTGTCAAAGCAACTCAGAGACAAGATTTTTTTGTCAAAGGTTAAGCAGCTGCATGTGGGAAACATTAGAATATCAAAGCTGAGGAGTCTTAATGGTATGTGATGAAGAAGTCGGTGTGGCCCAGCGCGGGAATTTGAAATTTCTTTCCACTTGTAACTCAGAAAAACACGAATCTGACTTTCTTACATGGAGTATATTTATTTAATTTAGTTATTTAGCTTGATTTGACTTAATTTCTCCTTCCTGGTGAAATTTTGCGTCTCAGATTTATATGTTGTTCTTTTGATTTAACTGCACTACCTGAGATTTAAGCCTTGAGATTTAAACTCACCTGAATTCATTTAAAAATTGCACATATTCTGATGTGGATGTTCTCTATTGTTATCTGTTAATGTGGCCTACTGTACAGCTGGCAGTGGCATTCATTTAGGACCCCCAGAGGAAGAAATCTCATGTCTTTTCTAATCGGCTGAACATATTTGAGATCTACCCAGTGGGTGGAGTTATTATTATTTTCCATTTGCACTTTTCCCATAAAGTAGTGATACCTTCAACTACACAACTGAAAACTGCAAAGTTCTATAAAACTTTCCTTAAGAAAATCTTTTAGAGATATTTCTTTCTTTTTTTGATTTCACCTAATCTTAGAAAGGTTTAAAACTTTAATGAATATCAAGGCACCGGTGGAAAAAGACGTCAAAGTTTAAAAGTTTCACAGACATTTGCAGAATATGCCAGGTACCTACGTCGCCCAGGAGAACCTTTCTTACACACTGTACCGCAGCAGGAAAGTATGCCAAGTGCTTTGGCCCAAACACACATGCACAAGAGTTTCACAGCTGCCTGATGACTCCCATGAAATACACCTGCATTAGCACCTCTGTTAGCATGAGGCAGGCGTGCCGAGGTGCTGGCAGGCAGGGTACCGAGGATCAAGTGAGCTGGTAACTGGAATCAAATGGCATGTAATGGTAGTAGCCACTGCTGCAAGGAGAAGGGTAGAGGGGAAAAAAGCACTATCCTGTCTTCTTCTGTCAGAATCAAGGAGGGATGGAAAATAAAAGGCCCGTCCTGTGTTCAGGGACAGGACGACAGTCTTATGTCTGGGGAGGAGAGCGGAGGAGGGGTGATGCTATTTCTGCATGGCACGCCGCTGGTGATGACCAGTATGTGTGTTAGTGGGTAACGGGAAAGGAGAAGTGAAAGGCACAGAGAGGAAGAAGGACTGACCGAGTTCTGACAGAAACTAGCCTTGAATGTACCTGTGATGAAATGCGCTGATATTTATATAAGTGCTTGTCTTGTTGTAGCGACCACTCAAAGCTCTTTAGACTACAAGCCACGTGTGACTAATGCCATAAGTTCATACTGTGCTTTATTCCATGCACTTTATCTCATATGCACTCACCAGTTAACCTAACATGTCTTTAGAATGTGGGAAGAAGAGGAAACCCACACAAGTACAGGTAGGACATCCAAACGCCACGCAGAGAGGCTCCAGTCAGGGCTTGAACCAGTGACCGTGCTGCTGTGATGCAACACGCTAATCTGTGTACCACGCATCTGCTGGCAAAGGTTAAAAAGTCAGGACTGAATTGATATATTGTATGTCTTAAATGTAAGACCTCGAAATAGAAGTGGTGTACATGGTTAGCACATCCTTCAGATGACTGAGTATCAGACTGGGACAACAACAGGTTTTCATGAGCAAACATCAAAGAGCCAAGGAATTAAAAATGATAGAGGACATGGTGTGCAATAGTAGTGCACCATGAACCTGTGAACTGTATATAAAAGGTAGAAATGGCTGATATCAACCTTTAGTTGGTGAAGCTTCTTGTTCTGGAGCATTTTGGCCATCTTGGTGCTACATCTTCATCTTCTATTTAGTCTTCGACAATTTTGCTCTAAGCTTGGTGGGTAAGCACCCTGGAGGTTAATCACAGAGCTAGATACATCAATATTTTCCTGCTATTTCCTTCAGAAAGATGGCCCTGCTCCATGCCACTACAACCCACAGACCAAACCAGCTAAAGCCATCACTTCCTGTTTCAAATCCACGTTGCCGCGGCTACACGGTGTGCACTCAGTGAGTCTTATTTACATTTCTTGTGTTTTTCTACATGCCGTAATTACTAATTTAAGACTTCGTATTTTACATTAGCTGCATTAGAACATTTTTATGTTATTAGGTGCTTTTTCAATTTGTTTCAATGATGATCATATTTTTACATGCTTTTAATGGAAATTCATCTGATTTTAAAGGGATTAGTTATTAAACGGGATTTAGATAACTCCTGTAAATAAAATATAACATCACAAGATTATGTAACAGATAAAGAAATCAAACACACACTGAATTTATTTAATGGGGCACGGATAACACGGACTGGAGACAGATTAAAAGAGAAAGCAGATGCAAAGCAAAACAATGAGTCTAGCAGGCGCGGACGATTCTAATTTTGCATAAGACTGCAGGAGTAAAAGTCCTAAATGACTTCGATAGAGGGTAGAGGCACAGATGGCAGGATATTTAGTCAATAGTGATCAACTGGTTAGTGGTTCAGTAAGGAAAGTGCCTAAAATAACAGCTGCATTTAGGAAATATGGCCAACAATTTAATGCATTGCACAGTTTTGGCTCGCAGGTATTCTCATTATTTGAAACATTGACCATATTTATTTATTGCATATAAGTATGGACCATTGTAACAGTATGCATAGAGCAGAATATAGAATAAAAGAGCAACTATTTCTATCAGATTGTTTCAGCAGAAGAGATGTAGTCTATAAATTATTACAGATACATTAGGGTTCAACCTGTAGTAACATCCATACATTACGATACTCACAGACATGCCTTTTGTATTGCGGATCAATACAAAGTTGTTCTAATTTATAATCTATATACTGTGAACATTTCCATTCCGATGGAGTGCTCTCTTTCAGGAAGACAATGCCTCCGTCCATGGGCCGTAGAGTCTCACTGAACGATCTTATAAGAAAGCTAATGGTGTGAATTATATGATTAGGCTTTCAGCTGAACACTCATGGGTAATTTTTAGATGGATGTGATAGAAACCGCTCTGCACCAAACACCAACTGAGGGGATATCTTCTGAATGAATGGCGTTCCCTTCTTCCTGTGTTTGGAGTACTTGGATATTAAATACTGAGATGTGTTGAAGCTTAGACCCCATATTGCTTACACTTTGTTTGTTTCTTTGGTTGCAGTCTCCTGTTTGTTAGCAATCAAAGGTTACAGCATTTAGAATTCTTTGAATTCATACTAGAAAGCTACAAACTGACAATATATTATAAATTGAAAAGTAATTACAGTTACTTGTGTATTTCACAGAACACTCCAGGACCGGGGGCCTACGATCCTTTCAGGAAGTCGTTTGCACAAAGATGTTAAGGAGCCGTCTTAATTTTCCATGATACAAGCATCCCTGCATTTAGTCATTGTTTCAACTTACAGAGTGAAGTCACATAATCCAGTGTTTTAAATATAAGATAAAAGTAAAATCATGGCTGCATGAAAGAGGGGAAACCTTTGGTCTTTTATTACTTGGAGCAACGTTTATCTGCATGTCAGTGAGGGATTTTGTGGTCTGCCAACAACATAATCAGCTACATTCGTCGTGCTCAAATTGCTTTAGTGACGCCGGCCAGGGAAGCAGAATGATCTTATCTGCAACAAAGGGTACTTCATTCCACTTAACTACATGTTCCCGGTATTGCGCCCTCCCTTCATCTCTCTTCCCTCTCTCGCTCCTCTTTCCCTCTCTGTTGGCAGTCAGGCTGCCTTTGCCTTCCTACTATCTCTGCCCTGCGATGCACTCAGGAGGAGGAATGCTGCTCAGCCATGCGTCACATGCACATAGCTTAGTGTGGCATGCTGCACCCTCAGATAACACATTCGGTATTAGAGGCCAAGGCAGTGGCACACAATAAAACAGCTATTCTTATCGCTACCTACTCCACATACTCGCTCTTTCTTTCAACGAAACAAACAAGCTTGGGACACGGAGAGCAGCGCAGATAGGAATCGCCTCTAAGTGAACATGATGCTGTTGTAGATTACCATGCAATAGGGGATAGGCACAGATATAACAAACAAGCTGTTACTGTTAGGAATCTGGACACTGTTATTTACCCAGACAGGACTTTTGCTGAGCATGCATGCACTGCTTTATTGTAGAGTTGTTGAGGGAACTGAGGTGTACTCAGCTCTTCGTCCCAGCCAGACTCTGTTAATGAGATCCAGGGATTAAAGCCCACTTTATTAAGTATTTGAGTGTTGTGTTAAGTACAACCAGAGATGGGCAGTGACGCGTAATCTGATTACTTTTTTCAAGTAACGAGTAAAGTAAGGGATTACTATTGCAAAAATAGTAATTAGATTACCGTTACTTTCCCATAGGAACGCTGCGTTACTGCGTTACTAAAACCGTGATTTTTTTTGCGAGAATGTCTCATGACAGTGACGTAAGCGAGAGCGACGTTTGTGACAACAGCTGTGTGCAGATCAACGATGGATCATATATCAAGTGCGGGAGAGAGTATGAGCGTGCAGCGTTTAAAGCGTGGAAGTACTGACCTTACTTTGAGTTTGATTCCATAAAAAGTGACAAAAACATTAGTGTCCATCGTGCGTGGGAAGAAAACTTCTTTTTACAGCGAAAAAACCCCTAAACTTCCAAGCAAGCACCGAGTAGCTACGACGTAATGGGAAACTCACAGAGAAACTCGCGGATTCTTCAACTGACCACGGCACACCTGCACCAGGGTAAACCTCCGCCTACCCACTCCTGCTTTACAGGTGAAAATAGAGCAACAGGACCGCTAGTCTTTGACTTTATTTATTTTCTGCTGTGTTTTACTTGCATCTATTTGAAAGAGTGAGTGTAAACACAAAAAATATTTTATTTTATGTGCTGGAATGTGCAGAAAATAGGTTTAAACAAATTTCTTCCAGTCAGACAATGTTGCATATAATTAAATTTTTGCTTGATGCATAAATTTAACGGATTTAAAGTTTTAAAAAGAGATTTTTCCATTTGATTACATTTTGTATGATGGGTTATGCAGAAAAAGTAGAATTGGGCTGAAAGATCTATTTCTTTATTACCTATTCAGTTTGTAAATCGTGTTTTTAAAAAGTAACCAAGTAACTAGGTAATTAATTACTTTTGAAAATAAGTAATCAGTAAAGTAACGGGATTACAGTAATTAGTTACTGATTAGTTTTTTCAAGTAACTTGACCAACACTGAGTCCAACGCATACAGTAATATTGTAAGGACGAAGAACAGTTATGTTAAAGCTGATTCACAGAAAAGAAAATCGGCCAGAATCTGTAAATTTCCCATCAAGTGTTTGAGCACCAGTAGCTACCTCACTTTAAAAAAAGCATACCCTAATCTCTTTGCTAGTTGAACACTGAAGCTGCACTCACCTATACTCTTCATATTCATGGGGGATCAAATTGATTTTTGTAATCACGCAATCGCATCTTCCTTCATCTGTGTGAAATATTTTAGGGCTTTTCAGCCCTTTGCTTCGTTCTTATGCGTAGGCCCAAACAGCAGACTTACAAGCTATTTATCTGGCTGATGTATTCACAGGGAAACTTTCAGCAGGTAAAAAGAGACTACGGAGAGTCATTGGAGACCAACTATACCAGCGGTCTCCAACCCCTGGGCCACGGACTGGTACCAGTCCATGAGCCATTTGGTACCGGGCCACGAGAGTTGAGGCTCGGGTGTGAAATGTATGGTTTTCAGGGTTTTTATTGTTTTTTTTAAATAGTTTTTATCATTAACTCGGTTTCCCTGTGTCTTTTCCCGTGTATTATGAACAAATCTTTTTTTTTGGGGGGGGGGGTACCGGTACTGTTTTTATTTTGTTGTATTTATCCACAACACCTTATAGGCCAGTCCAAAATATTATCGGACATAAACGGGTCCGTAGCGCAAAAAAGGTTGGGGACCGCTGGTCCAGACAACTAGAGTTTCATAGGTATCCCTGTTTTTACCAACTGGTCACGGCAGATGGCTGACGCTGCCTGAGCCTCGATCTGCTGGAGGTTTCTTCCTGTTAAAAGGAAGTTTTTCCTTCCCACTGTCACTAAGTGCTTGCTCATAAGTGGTCGTGTACTTGTTGGGATTTCCTCTCTAATATTGTAGAGTCTTTATTTTACAATACAAAGCTCATTCAGGGAATTTGCTCTTTGCAAATAAAACTGAATTGAATTGAACTTACAATTTCAATTTAGTACAGCTGATTGTATCTAAGCGTTGCATTTACAGCTTATTGTTTTACCGAACGACCGAATGATGCTAGAAAAACACCCATTTAAATGCATCTTTCACTGCTGTAGTCCATGAAGTGGGACTAATTCACTAGGTCTGGTTCAGTGTGTTAAAATGGAGGATTTCCACAGTGATTTTTCACATTATCATTCCAAGCAGACAATAAACATCTGCGAGGTAACAAAAAACACCACTGACAATTCAGCCAGCTGCTGTGGAAGAGGTTACGAGCTACTTCTGAGGCATCCGGCTGAATGTTTTATGTCTTGACATGACTATTTGGGACGGTGGTCATGGAAGTCTTGTGCAGCACTATCATAGCACATCTACTTAGACAACAGTTAAAGCCCTCCCACACACACACACACACACACACATACACACACACTCTGTTTTCCTTCAGTTGCTGACACTTAAAAGCTTGATGAGGTTGAAGGGCCAGTCTCTTATTCCCCCTGTCATTATTCCAGAGACAAAAGAGGATACACTACCACTCAGAGTGGAAGGCAATCTTATTAACACGGGGCTTTGCATACACTCTCTGGAGAGCTGGATCTCCACAGTCAGCACTTGCAAGGAAGATACAGTAGGAGAGATATGTGTGCGTGTTTGTGTGTAACAAACAGCCAGAATGGCCTGTGGTCAAGGCACCAAGCCGCCAGTAATCTCTGACTCCGTCAACCCCTGGTGCCCTTCCTCCCTTCTCATCTAAATGATCTCCACAGTACAGCACTGATCTCTGACATATGCCTCATACTGATGACTTAACACCCTCCACCTCCCACAGCCTGCCTTGACCACAGGCACGGCCAGGCACCCGCTCCTCTGTTGTCAATCAAGCTCACCCTCGTAGATGCACGGTGCATTAAAATAAACACTTGCACATCCATGCAATGCAGCGAATGCACACGCGCTTGTGATCTTTTGCTTTTTAAAAATGCGCTTTGCAAACTGATGCGCAAACCTGCGAGCACGTGCACACACACTCATTTCTTAAAGGCTCCGTGGGGAATCAACATAATCCAACATATCAATTTTTCTTAATCTATGATGAGTACAAACATCAAAGTAACACAACAAATCCTGCCACACACACACATTGTCCTTCTTTTTGTTTCTTACCTCTGCTAGTTTTTCATGTGGCGGCAAAGGTGTTTTAAGCATGATTTCAGTTGCGCTGGCACAGTGGAATTCTCTCATTTAATGGGTACAAGAACATCTGGTGCCAGGGTAAGTCGTACAAGCAGCCCAAACATCGACTCCTCTTTCTGGGAACAGCTTAATGAGATACGGTCGCCGTTCAGGAAGCAATGCAGCGCATCACTGAACGTCTGGAATAAATCTGTGTTTTTGGCAGCTTACAGCAAGATTTGACCGTGCTACTCAGCTCCACCGTTGGGCCAGAGTTGAGGATGTCAAATTAACAGCTAACACTAAACAACATGCTGAGAAAATGTGACCCAGCTTCGGAGCGATGACGAAGGCAGACCACTGGAATTTTCAAAGAATGTGAGGTTACTTAAAATACTCTAATCCAGCACTGGTGTGGGACTTCTTATTGGTTTGTTAAGTCCCAGCTAAAGTTCTCCAAACAAATAAACCCTTGAACAGTGCAGCCATTGTTTATTCACTGACATTGCGTTGAGTTAAAATGGCCCTGCAGTACTAGCTCCATCTTGCTCCATCTGTATAACACATCACCTTGAAACACCAGGAGTGGGGATAGACAAAGAGATTTGCAGGTTTATGTTCAGAGGGCTTCAGGCTCATTCACTTTCAACACTACAGCCCTACACTAAGGGTGACGACCAAGGAATTTAGCAGGCGGTCCGACACCGAGAGGTTAACCAGGTATCCTTTCACCGCCCATCTCAAGCTGCTGACAGACACAAAGGAGGTACATTACACTTCTATTAAATGACATTTAAAAATTTAATCAGCTCCAATGAGCGACTGTTAGTGAACAAGGGGGTCATTGTTTAAGTGGGTAATGGTGCTGGCGCTGGCGCACAGTGTGTGGAACGTGGACCAACAGCGCTGGAGGGCTATCAAGTTTTGGATCTGGCGATTGATGGAAGACAACAAACTGCTGGCCAGGCTGCTGTTTACTGTGGCGTTATTGGGCCTGCTTGCTTGAAAATTTCAGCCTCATAAAAATGAGTGCCAGAGCATGTCCAAAAAATGAGGCTGGCAGCAGGATGGCAACAATGTGAGAGTAATATAACACCTATTTTATATCAATAAGCAGGTATATCAGATATTCTAGTGTCTGGCAAAGGATTTTAGATGGTGCATGTAGATTCTTTCAGAGCTGCAACTCACCTTATTCACACAGGAAGGTGGAGGGCTAGGTTAATAATACTAGAAAGGTTAGCAACTTGTATCCATAGCTAGCTAACAGTGTTGGCATCCGTCTGTCAGCAGTGGCAAAAAATGTCTTGTATACCAACCTGTAAACACTTTTTGTCAGGCTGTAACACTGGGAATTGTAACATAAGAGTCAGAATTGTGGAATGGCACTAAAGTAAATATAACTCTGATATCTGTTTGTTAAATGTAAATTTAAGGCTAGCATAGCTTAGTACAAAAATCTATTTTGCATTATTAAAAAAAATGGCATAAATTCCACAACTTTGGACTTTACACATTGTGTTAAATATCGACCTTTTGAAGTTACAGTAAACAGATTTACTTACCTTTAGAAAAAAAATCCTTTTCCTCTATTAGCTTAAACTTTATGCTAGGTCAAGCTAACTGCCTACTAGCTAGTACAGTAAGTCTGCAGAAAGCACGCAGTCATGAGAAAAAATGTTAGATATGTTAGATATGTCTTTTAAGACCTCACTAAGTCCAAAAAAGTGGACCACATCAGTCCAGCTCTGAGGTCTTTACACTGGCTGCCTGTCTGTCAGAGGATAGACTTTAAAGTCCTGATGCTGGTCTATAAAGCTCTGAATGGTTTAGGACCAAAATACATCAGTGACCTCCTGACCCAGTACGAACCTTCCAGATCCCTCAGGTCATCTGGATCCGGTCTTTTATCAGTTCCCAGAGTCAGAACCAGACACGGAGAAGCTGCATTCAGCTTTTATGCTCCTTATATCTGGAACAAACTCCCAGAAAGCCTCAGATCAGCTGAAACACTCAGTTTATTTAAATCCAGGTTGAAGACTCACCTGTTCTCAGCTGCATTTGAATAAAGCACCAAATCCACACTTAAGCTTAAATTTCAAAACTTACATTTTAACTACTGATTTTATCTACTGTTCTGATTTTATCTGTTTTGATTTTATATACTGTTTTGTTTGTTTGTTTGTTTGTTAATTAGTTAGTTTGTTTGCTTGTTTTAATCAATTTTAAATCATGCTTTTTATTTGTTCTTGTTTCTAATGTCTCTGTAAAGCACTTTGAATCCCCTTGTTGTTGAATTGTGCTATACAAATAAACTTGCCTTGCCTTTTAGCCAACCTTTGAAAATGACACTCGTGGATTTTATGATGATACATTTTCATAATAGCCAAAAGTATATTGATTCAGGCAGATGCTAATTTGAAGCTATTAACAGCACCATAGTGTAACTCATAGTAAAACTACAGGCAAACAGTTATTGAGGTTTTTTGTTAGTGTTTTTTAACTGAAAATTCATCTCAATCATCAAAACATTTTCATTTTTATTTTACAAATGATTTTTACAGCATTTTGAATACATTCTTATGTCAACACGTGAACACTGAAAATGCTCGAACACATTTTCCCCTTGGGGATCAACTCCGACTCCGACGCATTAATAAATGAGATTATGAAACCACATCTGATCCTTATAACCTCCATCACACCCCTCACCCATCCATGACTCCCCAGCCTTGTTTGGTCATCACAGTGATGGTTTACGGTTTCCTTGTTGGCGCCCCGCAGCAGCAGCACCGCCCAGCCCGTGCCCTCTATGTGCCCCTGCCGGGTTGGCATCCACGTTGATGACCTGAATACCACGCTTGCATAGAAACCTCCCCCAAAACGGTCACCGCGGTTCATGTACGTTTGTTTATCATGAGGTGTGGAGGGTGTGTTGCTCAGGTATGAAAGTGACACCAGAGTGATGTGCATGGGTGGCATCACAGTGACAGTATAAGTATGAATGTGTGTACATGTGTGTATACTATATGTTTAAGCATATATACTTGTGCTGTACCTCAAAATGACTTCATCGCATGTCTCTCATTGTCAGAGTATGTGTGTATCTTTGTGCACCATGTAATACTTCACTCCTTCCCCTTGAGGATTAGACCATTCATCTCCCGAAGCCCCTGTGTAGGTGTCTCACACGGTGCTAATGAGGAGAGGACGGAACAAGGGAGAGTCGGTGAGTGAGGAGGGAGAAAGAGTAAAAATAGACTATTCCGATGGCAGAAAAGAGGCGATAGTGATAGATAATCTCCATGTCCAAAAATCGAAGTATTGATGAATGAGGGATTTTCATGCCAAGAGCGATCGGGGCGTGGGCGGTTCTTTTAAAAAAAAAGAATACAGGAAAGGTAGAGATTGGTGCTTGCAACGCTGCAGGGAGGGAGAAGAACAGACGGCTTTTTTTTTCTCTAAAAGCAAAGCCAGGGACTCTTCCCATAACACAAATCAATTTACACCAGCCCGAGACATTGATTATAGCTGGTTCATTCCTCACATGGTAGCAGCAGACATCAAACAGACACTGTCAAACTTGTAAAACCACACGTCGTGCATGTGTGTGTATGTGTGTGTGTAGTGACTGTTTGTGTCTTCCCACTGTATATGTATGCTGTTCAGAGGACCAGATCTCTCTCCACTTCCCCAGTTACTCAAACAAGGGGATGGCTGCTAGGCAACGAAGCCACATCACATCACATCAGCCAAGCTGGGAGAGGGCAAGAGACATAGAGGGTTAGCGGGAGCGAGAGAGAGCAATAGAAAGAGGGAGGGAAAGGAGGAGGGAGTTTGGAGGCAGAAAACTGTGCTGGCAGTATTACATAAGCCAGCAGCCCAGTCCCACTGCTCACATTTATGTGGTTAGGCACTCGGAAGTGATGCCCATTAGTCACAAGTGACAAGGCAGGTGAAGATACAAAATCCAGCAGTGATTTTTAAAAGCCATTGTTGTTTATAATGGACGGCATTATGAACAGATGAGTCAAGCACACACACACACACACACCCATGCATATGTGCATGGATGAGGGTCTACTGTACCGTACAAACAGAAGATTGCTAACATCCCAGAGGGATCATTCAGAGGGAGCAGATACACATGTATTAAAATACGTCATGTACACACATATAATGATGCCATATGGAATGACGTGTTCATGCTGGTTCTTTTGAAGATGAGCAGGAGGGAGTGTTTGTGCCTGCATGCGTGCATAAAAAGCTACACCAGTCAAGGCCATCATCAAAAATACATCAAAGGTCCAAATAATAATGAAGTGGAGCTGCTGCTGTGATAAACAGCATGTACAATATCCACCTATCTGCACTGCCACATGTATCAGAACACAACAACATGCTTTTTATGTCAAGATGTAACCGGCACATCTCTGAATTTATGAACCCGGTGATTACGATCATTAAAAATATCCCTCCATAGACTCCATAGGAGATTTACAACAGAACGCTACTTATGCTAAAATATTAACTTTCTATACAGCCGTCTTTTATATGCAAAGACCTAAAGCCCTCTCTTTCTTTATCCGCACAAACTGCATTAATACAATTGGTGGTGTTAGAAGCTAGCAATGTTCACATAAGTACTATGGAGCAATTAAACTGATAATTATCAAAGAAACAAAGAAAGTTGCTGAGATTAATAACTTTTTCAAGTTGAGGTAAAAGTGATTTGTTAAACGGTTTGTTCTTTAAAATATACTTGATGAAGGAATGGCTAAAATTTTGGAAAACAAACTAAAGTTAGATGAGTAAATAAATACCACTCAAGCCTCTGTCCCTTAAACCTGAAGTCACGCTTAAGAAAAATATGAAACACGAGGAGACAGCTCACCTAGTTCAGTCCAAAACAGCAAAATAAATAAAAATAAATATTTTTCAGAAAATGAAAACTTATATCTTCAATTTAGTGACCTGCAGCACACTGCAGCACACAGGGATGGAAGCACCCTTCCTGAGACTGGTTATGCTGGAGGGTTTTTTTTGTTTTTTTTTTGGTTAACTGGGAATTCTCCAGACCAAGTGCACTTACTTGGTCGACTTGTTTTTTCTTTTGGTTGAAAAAAGTCTTAATTTTCCCACAATTCATAATTAACAAAGTCCTGCAAAGCCCCAGTTGGCAAGTGGCTGCTGGAGGCTGCTGCACCAAAAATCTGATTGTCATCATTATGACAATCAGACAATCAACTTTTACTTCGACTTCGGGCAGTCTCGATCTTCTGTTTGTGTTGAACTTTTCAGTTTCACTTCCACTTGGCAAGTGTTTGCAGACAAGTTTTCAAACTACAAACCTGACTGTGGCAACCAAATCAGTCAAATCAAGGTCTTCCATGCTGCATAATTTACCTCTTTGAAACAAATTAGATGCTTGCAACCACCAGCCACTTACAGCAACCACTTGCCAACTAGTTGGGGAAATAGATACTATTTTATTTTATTTTGTCTTCAAATATTGTAAATACATGAGTGATACCAGTCTGTTCATCTCCCCAACAGCAAGAAAACAGACCCAATACCCAAAACTAACTTTTGATTTAAAGCTCATGTTTCTAGTCTTTTCGTCAGCTCATCATTAGATTTTAGCCAAAATCTTCACCCCAACCCAAACCTCCATGCCACTGCAAGGCCGTCATCTCAGAGCTCTCTGGGGATGACAGTGAAGGGACGGACGGGACTGGAGGCCTCCAACTCCAGGGCTGTCAAGAAGCAGTCGGGGGCCTGGTTGCAATCCCGAGACTGAAGAGCTTCACCCAGTCCACTCCACGCTTCGTGGGAGGTGCTGTGGATCTGAACCGCATCACGCAGAACCTTCTCGCCTAGGTGGACACGCCCAGTTTTCACCAGCAGACGGCCCTAAATGAACAGAATGATGGAGAGGTGCAGGAAAAAATTGTTTTACATTTACGTGCATCAATGTCACACTTCATAAGTTCTTTTCAAAACCTTAAAACTCTCTATGCACAGAAAGAAGTGTCCTGCTTAGAAAACAAAAACTGGATTTTTCTAAAACCTTTGGGGAAAAAAGTAACTAACGAGCAATGTTCCCTCTAATTTTTCACGTGTCTGAGCGAACACACAAACTCCCTGAGCGATCCCTTTGACCAATGTGAGCGACATCAGACGTGTGCACTCACATTTATGTTAGACTACTTTTAATTAACTGCTTTAGCCCACTTACAATAAAAATTAATAAATAAATCTTGTTCATGAACTGTGTAGTATGTTAACACTATTGGAAGTAAAAACACAACTTACTTTTTTTTATAATTTTTTTTTATAAAGCTCTGACTTGTATTATGAGTCTGAGTCTGTGGTCTGGGAGAGAGTCTGTAACTCTCTGTCTGCAAAATACAGTATATGATGACCAATGTTGGGCAATTAATTATATAGTTACTTCTTCAAAAAAGTAACTCAGTTTGGCAAACAACAAAGTTTTTGCAGCTATTTTTTTTAAATGCAGCCAAGGCGTTTTTTTTAAATAAACATTTCAAACTATTTACAGAACAATCAGCTGTTCTGCATCAAATCTGATGCCACACAAATTATTTGTGCCACTCCAAAACATAATTTCTGTCCACTATGAGATGAAGGAGAACAACAGCCTGATACCTGCAGGCCTGACAGCTGGAGATGTATCACTGCTGTAACACCTGTAACACTCAGCAGTCGCTTCATTGTTCTGACACACACAACAGAACTATTGACTACACTACACACTAACTACACACTAACTACACACTAACTACACAAGATTTATGCTAAACGTCTCAAATCTCTCACATCTCAAAACACCGCCGTCACTCCTAAAACTTCCCCCCGTTTCTTAACAACAAGATGCCACGTTGCCATACCATTTTTTGATTGGTCGACATGTTACTTTTTTGGACCAATAGGAAAGGGGGTGGGGTTTGTTTTTGCTCACAGGCCTTTTTGCTTATAAAACGCCGTTTTTACCGTTTCTTCCCGCAGTAAATATAAACAACGACAGTATTCAGGAAGAAAACCAAACATTGCAGATATTTTTATCACAACTTGGTTTTACGTGGCCTATCAACACAATTTAAAAACTGGTATAAAGTCCACACTTTTTCCGTCAGTTGTTCCGTCTGTCCTGCTCACATCTCCAATGGTTGTACACGTTGTCATTAACGTGGCTTCACTCCACATCAGCCACGCCGCTTTGCTAACTAAAACACCGGTGTCGGCACATAAGGACGCTGTCATAGCCTGTCAATGACGTTGATTGGCTGCGTATATACGCATCGGCTGAACTATGGGATAAGGTGGCATTGTTCTAATCCCATATGGGAGCAGCCAGTCACTTACTGACTAACACTGCAAAACATGATTGTTGAAGTATTAATTTTAATTTCATTTCAGGTTAGTTTTTTTTTGTGCACAACGCAGATTTTCTGTGCGCAGAGACCGTGCCAACAGTGCGCAATTGCGCACGTGAGCAGCTTAGAGGGAACATTGCTAACGAGTAAACTTATTTACATTTTTATTTTAAGATAGCTGGGTTTGACACGTTAAAACTGAATAATAATCACTTTCAAAAAGTTGGAGGATAAAAGCTGACCTTTGGCATACTCTAATCTTCACAGAATGGAGATTTTACATTTAATTTTAGTACCTAGTTGCTCATATTATGTTTTTACTCTAAATGTCTACCATCAAAACGCTTTATGGCATGATAAGATCAAGCTAGCAGATGGTGACTTTTTGCTAAAAACCCAAATCTTGGATTAGAATGCCTGCTGTCCTGCAGTCGAGTCAGGATGACAAAAAACAAAAACGGAAACAAGAGTTGTATTCAGCTGGGATTGTACAGCTGAAGGGAGAAAATCCACAAATGATGAGATTAGGAGCGACCTTCTGCAGAAAGATGATGCAGTATGTTAGTGTGCACACAGTAACACGTGCACAAGCGCACACATACGCTGATGAAAACTGATAGGGGGTTTAGGGTTAGCGAGAGAGACGGCCTGAAGGGATCCTTTAAGTAGATGCCAGTTACTTGCTCTTCCTGCAGATGATTTGCCAACGCAGACTGTCACTTTTTGAATGACTTAACTGTGTTTTACTGGGTTTGGGTTTGTCATAACATAATTATCAATTAATATATTTTCAGACGGAAATAATAAAAACTGTATTGTTTAGCATCTGTGTACCTTTTTTTTTTTAGCACAAATGCATGCCCAACACCGATAATCGAAGTCTGTGAGAAATCTCAGAATTATTGCGGACTCATTTTAACCTCTTTATTATTATAACAACAGTCACATGTTCCCAGAATGCTGTGTAACTCTATCCAGCCATACTCTACCGCTTATCTCCATTTGGACGCAGACATTTTATTCACCCCAGCTACCGCTTCCAATTAATCCAGGGGAATACTGAGTCGTTCCCAAGCCAGTTGAGAGGTATATTTTCTCCAGCAAGTCATGGGTCTGCCTTGGGGCTTCCTCCTGGTAGGACATGCTCAGAACACCTCGCCTAGGAGGCATCCAGTAGACATCCTACTCATCCTAGTCGGCTGGCTCCTTTTGATGTGGAGGTGCAGCGGCTCTTAAAGGACCGAGCTCCTCACCCTATCTCTAAGTGATAGCCCAGCCACCCTTTGAAGGACACTCATCTCCACCACTACAATAACTATTAGACAAAAATTGTAAGTTTTCCCCTTAAGCAGCATTAAAAAAAAAAAGTGTCCTGACTGATGTGAAAGTTACCTGAAAAGGTTTAATTCATGAGTTATTAAGTATTACCACTATAATGACATTGCTCTACCAAGTATGATTTTGCTAATCATCTCCCACGCTAAATGGTGCCTTATAAAAACTGCAAATTGTCTGAATGCATATGTGATAGATTTTGTAGGTAAAAGGTTACAGGGAAAGATAAAGGTTTACAATGCAGCTAGCATGTCACACTAGGAGTATTTGTTTACCACCACTGTTAGCCAGTGGCATCCCATGAGAGCTCATAACAGACCATTAAAATTTGCCATTGTAAAATGAATCTTTCTCCTTTCATGTTAAAGAGTGGTCTGCATCCATCCTTGAAATAACTACTATCTTGTTGCCTATTGTCTCTGGAAGCAAAATTTAACTCCGTTTCACAATGGTCTCACCCACAGGCCGTATCCAGGTCCCAATAAAAGGAGACCGGCAGCCTTTTCTGGTTGTTTGCACATGCACAACGTGGATAAACGTCTGGTTTTTGGCAGGAAACTGATGTGAGACGAGCATGCTAGACAAGCTGCTGTTAGCTCTGCTTTCACTGTCGAGATCAGTTACCGTCTGGCCATTGTGTGGAAACCTCTGTGATTTATGAATGTAACAGATAAGTTTGTTCTTACTATCTACCTAGGCCAAAAGACTCCACCAACACTTTAACATTAACATAAATCACTTGCTTGACTGAATGTACAAGATCAAACCAGCTGTTTTGTTAATACACCACTTTCATTTTTCAGTAATCGTTTTAATCCACCTGTACACACTGATGGTTAACCCTGTCACACAGTTTTCAAGTCTTTCAATTCAGCTGTAGTTTTTATTTTGTAAATATATTTAACATACTTTTTAAAAATCGAGGTCAAGCCACATACCACTGATGTTAGTCATGCTTACGTCTCACTACACACAAGAAGCTGTGCACTCCAAGTGAAACCACTGGTAAATGCATCCTCCACTGGTCTCTTGTAAGTTTTACTCATTACTAATATTATCAAAGCCTTAACAAAAGACTTTTTACCAAAAACACAGAGACCAGCTTATATCAGATTCACTGTTTCATGTATTCAGAACAATGTTATGGCCATTACTGGCAATCGCTGTCATTAGTCATCTTAAATGTCCCTTTTTTGCTTATTTACAGCTCCACGATTTTTGGACTCTACTACAGTAGCTTTGCATGATTCACTGTTGAGAATAATCCCTATTATTTAATACTGGGCGGTCATGTCGTTATGTAAAAATAAGGAAATATAACAATAATAAGGAAAAACTCTTTAAGCTTCACAAGTTCCAAACTTTGGCAAATTTTTAAGTTTACACAGATGGTACTAAATTGTCCGGAACATTCAAAGACATTGGTATGGTCCTGTACAGAACGTTATTTTCCCAAAAAGCTCATTTGTAGTGGGGGGTGACTATTACCTGAGGCTAGACCAGGAAGTGTGGTAGGTATGCTTGCACCCACTGGTTTTGCACTTCATGAACATACTCTATATACTATGTATACAGTATGTTCATAAACAATCCACGGTTTTCCTTTACAAAAAGCTGAGGAGAGGAAAGAATGAGCTATAGCTGGCATTTTTGGTAATCTGTAAGATCATTACCACTGATGTGCATATATTTAAAAAATGTATGTGCAAAAGAGAAGAACATTGTGGATGATAACTGTTGTCACCATGTTAAAGATCATACCACTGCTTAGGTTTTGTCGTTTTGTAGCACAGCTCCATGGGGAGTCTGACACAACACAACCTCATGCAACTGACCAACTGCACAGAGTCAAATCTGCCTCACATATAAGCATCGTCTAAAGGCGCGCACACAAGCTCCAGTGTCACATGCATACTCAAGGTGACAACAGGGAACGAGTCTTGCACAATCATCCCTTGACTTACTCTATCTGTTACACACACACACAGGCACACACACAAACACACACACAAACACACATACTCTGAGATGGCCTGAGGTCAGACAGACGAGTCTTGTTATGCAGTCTCTGCTCACAAGCTTGAGATTAATTGGGCTGAAATTCACAAAGCTGTCTAGGGGCTCTGATGCAACTTTCAATAAGAGTGCACACTCTGCCTTCCTTCTTTCCTTTGCTCTCCT